TTTTGTGCTCACAAATGGAATCAAGTCCAGTGCTCTTTTTCTAGATAAACAAGAAATGTGAGATTCGTCTGTGTCCTTTTATTTTTATTTATTCTTTTTGTGCCCACAAATGGAATCAAGCCCAGTGGGATGTTAAGAATCAAAAGCAAATTGACAATATTGATCTGCCTCCCACTCTAAATTTGGAAAGGAGAGTAAAGACGATGGAAAAAGCAAAACACTACAACAAGAAATAGATAAAGGACAATTTCAAGTACATAAAAATAAGTGCTTATTTTTTCCATTACATAGCTAAACATTAATTAATGTAAATTAATAAAATTATGAGTCGTAAAGAAATTCAAATTATTATATATAGCACATTAAAATAGATATCATTAATATTACTCATTAGTAAAAACCATATCAATTAGACCTAGAAATTAGTTAATAGAATCTTGTTCATTTTAGGTCTAAATTATGCCCCTTTGTGAATGGAAAATGTATCACTTTTTTCTATTCCTATTTGAATAAAATTTAATTTAAAATAGTGAAATTTCAGAAGCAAAAGTGAAAACGTTGATTGTGTTCGAAAAAAAGGAAGGAAAAAGAAATGGGACAAACGAAATAAGGCAATATATCAGAAGGGAAAAACAAAAGGAGAACTAAAGCAGACACATTAGATGATTAATAAACTAGTGGAAAATATACAATCGGAACTCCTAAACTCCATTAAGAACAATATATGCAAACAAGGCCCAATTAACTAAAATATACTGGGTACGATGTATTTTGGTACCTAATGTTTTTCCATGTTTCAAGCATTATGTTCACGTTAATTTGCAGCCATATGGAATTTCAATTATGCATCACTATTCCTTTTTATCACATCCACAATTGTATTAACAAATCATAGCCGGAAATGTAAGACTTGGCTCTTTTGAGGCAATTATGACTCACATGATTGATTCTAAAGTGATTGATATCATAATTAATTGATTGATATTTTGTCAATAATTAATTAGCATCTCCCATTAGATAATGATTGGTGATTAATATTCTGATTAATTGATTGACATTTTGTCAATAATTAATTAGTATCTCTCATTTGTTAATGATTGATTAATATCTTTATTAATTGATATCTTATTCAATCAATTAATCAATCAAATCAATCAATTAGTCAGAAGATATTATCTTCAATTATGAATTTTGACAAGATTTCCTTGATGGAAGAAAACCTTATGGATTTTTGTATTTGCTAATAAGGGTCCCTAGCCTAGCTTTTAAATAGTCTGTGGTATTCCATCAATTATACACTTTTGGGTTAGGCATAGGCTAGAAGATTCTTACTCTAAATTCTGCTTTTCCTTTTTCTACATATTTTATTTTTATTAGAATAGACAGGAAGGAGTCAACGACACAAGAAGAGATCAACTTGTACTTGACAACAATGGTTAAAGATAAGTGTATTTAGATTTCCATTGCGTAGTACATTCACATGTACACAGTTAGTTTAACATGTGGTATTAGAGCCAACCTCTAACCATGTTGTTCAGCTTATAATTTCATGGTTTATTGACAATTTGATAAAAATTTTAGAGATTCGTATCAAGTTTGAACGAATCGAATTTAATTTGCCATGGGATTTATGGTCCATTTTCTCAATAATTGAGATTTATTGACTAATCCTATGTATATGTATCATTCATATGATATCTTATTTGGTTATACAATTCATCCAAATTTCCTCCAATAATTTGGTATGACTACAAGTAATTTGAATGTTTTTTGGACTTACATATTTGTGATTGTAAGGGTTACATGTATTGATTGTTGTTATCAATACAATATAACAATTCAAGAAATATATAAAGAGTTGTTATATACAACAATCAAATGATCAATATCATATCAATCTATGCAAGATAATTGGTTAACTTATATGAATGGATCTGCAGGTTTATTGAATTTCTGCTAAGGAAAAGTCTGAAGTAACGAGCGTTATGATAACGAAACTGTTTTTACCTGATATAACAGATAAAAACACTTTTAGCGACCATTTGATTACCTGTTATACTGGTCATCTAAATAAAATAGTACCTAAAAATATGGTTAGTAAGTTTTACATTAAAAATAGTAAGTTAACTCAAGAAATTAGTAACTTTTATGTCTCAAAAATTAAATTTGAAGAAATATGGAACTTACTTTTTTTTTGAAGTAGATAACTACTCTATATCTAAAACTTACTTTTTGGAGCGTAAGTTTAGTTCAAATAATAGTAAGTTTTTATAGACTAATAGTAAATATTGTTGATAGAATAGTAAATTTGGGTTAATCATCAAAACTTACTAGTTTATGGCATAAATTTACTATTTTACTTAAAGAAACTTATATGGAACAAGTATTAGGAAGTTTATTTGAAATAATGCTAAGATTTTTTATTAATAATTGAAACTTAGTATTATAGTTAGTAATTACTCGTAATGTAAATGTATGATACACAATTGTACGTATCATTTATAAATGTTATATGTTTTAAGCATTTTAAATAAACTATGAAAACTTTTTTTTTGCATATGACCTTATAAAATATGTAAGAATAATTTGTCATATTATAAATTTTGAATTATTTTTGAATTTGTAAAAGGTTAAAAAGTTTGGATGACAGTAAAAAAAAATCTTTTGAGTTATATATAGAATTGCACTTATCTATACATCACAATTTCCATATATGGACACCGATGAATATAATAAAATGGTACGCAATTTTCATATATTAATGCCTATGAATTTAATAAAATGGTAAAATCTTAATAAATTTATTTTCTGGGTCACAAGTATAAAAATTAAAGTTGTATTAACATAGAATAATCTTTGAAAATTATAGTAAAATTACCCATATGTTAAGTTTTGTGACTTTCAAACATACTTTGTATCATTTACATTATGGATTTGTATCCATATGTTTTCTATCAAACTCTTTTTTTATTGGCAAATGGTAAGTAAATTATTATGAAAGGGCATTTTATAATAATCATAATTTTTAATAGATGAATTTTATGTAAATTGTTAAAATTATGAATTCACAAACGACTAAATCTGACTACTTTATGACATATATTAGTCTAAATGACTAAAAAATTACTGTAATCATGTACACGTTGATTGTTGAATTGAAATTTCTTTTATTACTAGTACAAGTTCTTCTAATCAAAGCAAAATAAAATCAAATATCTTTTCCTTTTGTATGCAATAGTTATGCTTAATAGAAAATTATTAAACCATTTTTACAGTACATAATTTCTCCTAAAATTTGTAACATTTACCATGACCTCTAACCTTGACATTGTTATTTAATTTACCTTCTAAATTTAATTTAATTTTCTTATATTAATTGTTATACTAAATTTATAATTTTTGTTATTATATTATTTCTCATTTTGTTTAGGCTTTTACTCTTATTATTTCTTGTGTCTCATATGTAAATTTATTAAAACTTTATCATCTTATTATATTCATAGGTGTTAATTTATAAAAATTTTGATATATAAACAAGTAATATTCTATATATAACTAGGAAGATTTGTTGTTATTATTATCCAAACTTTCAAACTTTTCAAAAATTGAAAATAATTAAAAACTTATAATACGACAAAATTTTATTACATATTTTACGAGATTATGTGAAAAGTCAAACTTTTTTCCATAGTATTTTAAAATATGTAAATAAATTTTTTTAAATGTTAACTATAATCTTGTATTATACAGGTATATTATGAGTACTTACTAACTAAGGTACTAAAAATTAATCATTAATAAAACATCTTATCGTTATTTCAAATAAATTCCCTAACACTAGTTTGAAATATGTTTTAAAGTAAAATAGTACATGTGTCTCATAAATCAGTAAATTTTGATTATTAATCAATTTTACCATGTTATCAGTAAGAATTACTATTTATGTATTAAAACTTACTATTACATGAATTAAACTTACACTATAAAAAGTAAGTTTGGGATATAAAGTAGTAATTTATTTATTTAAAAAGTAAGTTTAATATTTATTCCAATTTACATTTTGAAGTATAAAAGTTACTAATTTATTACTGTTAACTTACTATTTTAGATGGAAAACTTACTTTCTTATTTTTAAGTGTTATCCTATTTAGGTGGATAGGCCTATCAAATAATCAAATGGCCGCTAAAAGTAAATAAAAAATAAATCGAAAATGATCATATAAGTGTTATCCTATTTATGTTTCAAAAAGTAAATCGAAATAAAAATGAAAGTTACTTTTTTTAAAAATTAAATTACTACTCTACATTCGAAACTTAGTTTTGTGGGGAGTAAGTTTAGTTCAAGTAATAGTAAGTTTTTATAGATTAATAGTAAATCTTGTTGAAAGAATAATAATTTGGTTAATCATCAAAACTTACTAGTTTGTGGCATAAATTTACTATATTACTTAAAGAAACTTATATGAAACAAGTATTAAGAAGTTTATTTAAACTAGTGCTAAGATTTTTTTATTAATGGTTGAAACTTAATATTATAGTTAGTAGTTGTTGGTAACATAAATGTATAATAATGATTGTATGTTTCATTCATAAATGTTTTGCGTTTTAAGCATTTTAATAAATGTATGCATCATTTATAAATTTATGTGTTTTAATAAATTTATTTTCTAGGTCACAAGTATAAAAGGTAAAGTGATCGTATCTAATGTAGCGTAATCTTTTAAAATTATAGTAAATTTACCCATATATTAAGTTTCGTGAGTTTCAAATATATTTCGTATCATTCACAATATGAATTTACATGCACATTTTTTATGAAACTTGCTTTTAATTGGCAAATAGTATGTAAATTATTATAAAATGTCATTTTTTGATAATCATAATTTTTATAGGTGAATGGAATAGGTGCAAGATCTTGATACTGTACTACAACACAAATTTGGGGATAAGTACAAGTTTCAGGCATCGTCATTTGAATTTGACGAATCTCCTAACATTCCTAAACAACCGAATGGGTAACTTTCATTAATGACGTTTTAAAGCCTAAAAAACCGTGTGCTGAGTATTGTATAACATGAGTATTTGAGTTGCTTTTCGAGTTCTGCTCATCAAGTAAGCCAGTCCAATTTGAAGTAAACAGCAAAATCTACATGCACAAGACATTTGATATGAAATTGGTATTTCAAAATAGGAGAAAACGGCTCATTTTGAGCATCAGAATGAATCTAACTTTTAATAATTGATACTTACGCATCAAAATTAAGCTGGCAGGACACTAGATATAGCTATCTAAGCATGACAAGATTACATGGCCAAGAACTGAATTTAGAGCACAAAGACTTTGGCTTCAGAAATCTGAAGCAATCAAAAGGCTAGTAACTTGATTTGAGAATTTGATCACCAGCATCAAGGGCTCTGATATCACTATCAAAAGCTTCAGTTTGGATTGACATTTCTGGTTTACAAACCCAAGAGCACTTGGATGCTAACAATATCTGAAATTTGATCACCAAACTTTTTTCCAAGCAAGCTGAAATTATTCACATTAAAACAAGTAAACACCAGAAATTGCAAACTAAGGAGATTATGTTCAGATTTACAATCAAAACGCATTAAACTACCTTCGAAGAAACTTAAATCATCCTAAAAGCTTTGAGCAAAGACGTGCAAAAACATTTGTACTCTCTCAAGAATAAAATTCCTTAATGGTCTTGGCTGAAATCTGGTTCATTCACTACAAAACCATCACAAGATTTGTATTAAAAAAAGGCCACAACAACACATAATCATAGCAAATAAATAACATAAAACTTAGGCGTGAAGAAGGAAAAATGTACCTGAATACTTTTCATCTCCTAACAAGCTAGTGTTTTGTACATAACTTTGGATTAATGAAGGATTGCATGCCCACATTAATGCCCATACAAATGCAAATAGAGCACCATTATATTTCATGCCTTCACACAAAAATAAATAAAAGCAAGCTATACATTACCTGACCAGGAGGAATGATCTGAAACCAATTACTATCCATTAATTCCTTATTGCATCCATGCTGTGAATCTGATTGCAATAGGCCATCGGATGATCCTATCAGATTCAAATTTACATTCTCAACATTATTGGGTGCCCCAACATGATCATAATTGTGAGTTTCATATGCATCTGTGCACACTTTAGTACATTTTCGTCTATCATGTCCAAATGACCTGCGGGAAAAAAATTGCCAAGCACAATCCATAAACAATAAGATTGAATTTATAAAGGCGTATATGAAGTGTACATATATAACTAACATTTTTGGCCTTCTAACATAAAGCCAATGAGTGGATGAAATTTAGCATTGCTCATTCATATCTGGTTTTGCAAAGCTATTCTAACCATAGAATAAGTCAATTTTAAGAGTAGGTGATTACTTGCAATTTTTGCATCGTCTTCGCTTTCGCTTGTGAGTGGACTGTTTTGCCTTTTGTCCCTTTGTAGCAACAACAATTGGACCAAGAGAAAGTATGGACCAAAGTGGAAACCTTTGCCTGGGAATTCAATCGTATCGTTGGAATTGAGAACTAAATAAGAAGAAGACAGATGACTTTAAAGAGATAGGTGATACCCGAAAGTGTTTCAGGAACCCAAAACCGTTTTCAGCAACCCAAAATCATTTTTAGAAACCCGGTGATTTTTTCACTTAAATATGTAAATTTTTTACTTTTAGTATTAGTAAGTTTAGTTTAAACATAAGTAAATTTTGTCAAATAATAAGTAAATTAAATTACTCAAAGTGTAAATTTCTATTTCTGACTAAAACTTATCTTTCAGGCATATACTTACTAGTTTGAATTAAAAACTTACTTATCTTCTCGACTTGGCAACCCGTTTCTTTTCTAGGTATTTTATGAATAGAACTCCATTCTCTCTATATTACAAACCATCATCAAACTAATTGAAAACCTCAATTCTCATATAAACCATTCATCTGAATTTTGTTCCAATCAACCCATTCAACAGATTTATGTTCCAGTCTAATCGTTATAATATAGCAATGGCATTAACAAGCTATTTTGACTCTCCCGGTAAGGGTTTACGTATTAGTAATTTTTTAGGAGGAAGATGAGTTATTCACATGTCCAAAATATCGAAACAACCAGCATAATCTAATCCTTAGTTCAATGAAAGTCACAAATTTGCGGGTAGGTAGATTAGATTATGTTGAATGCCTTTGGCTCTTTACAATGAAATTCAAAATTTTTTCTCATGACAGAGCAAAGACGGTGATATAATTGATTGTGTCTATATGTATCAACAACCAGCATTTGACAATCCTTTGCTCAAAGACCACTGGATTCCGCAGGTTTGCCCCATGCAACACCATTCAAAAGAAAAATAAACAAAAAAATGCAAAAATATGAAGTATGTATAACACCATAATTGATTGATGGTCGGAAACTGTTCTATGAATTTTCTCTCCTTTCCTGACTGAAGAAGAGGGAAGATGTGATTCTACAAAATCTACATGTATCATAGGATGGTAATAAGAATTGCTTCTGCAACACAGATTTACAAGAGTAATAATGGCCAAATTTCCGTGGCATTGCAGACGTTACAATGGAGTAAAAAATTCAAGAGGCTGATAATAAATTTCCATAGAAACAACAGATTCGCAACAATGATTCTAGATCAGTTCAGTTCAATAACATATGCTCCATCAAGCGTATCAACTTAGAATTCCAAAACGGGAGAAACCTCTCTTGCCTGAAGAATTCAAGTTATAAAGCTCATGTTGAGTTACTAATATATTAGTAATTCTCACCCGCACAGAGTAGCAATCACAACATACAAATTTCTCTTTGACATTTCACCAAACATCTTATATGCATTCACAAATTAATCACATTTAACTTAAACGCCTGGTCTCAAGTCCTTTCCTAGATGTTTCACATGGCTATTAAACATATTTTACCCGTAGACAATCAAAACTACAACCATTTCCTAGATGTTTCAACGGACATTTTCGGCCCCAAAATTGCAATAAAATCTTCAAATTCTCAGCCTTGATTTCCCAAGAAAATCTTGACAAACAAAACAAATGAAATATAAATAAATTACAGCAATATAATCAAACGATTTCAAGAGAACATGATGATCTAACCTCGTCACTGCTATTTTTCATATGCTCTTTGGCTGGCTACCACCGTCGCTAACCCTTTTGTTGTGTTTGCATATGGCAGCACTCAAACCCAACCGAACGATGAGAAAGGATAGAAGCAAAGTGTGAACTAAAGATGAAAATTTTGAAGTGAGAAGATTTATTCAATTGTAACAAAGAGAAAGTGTGGATCAAAGTGGAAACCTTTGCCTGGGAATTCAATCGTATCATTGGAACTGGGAACTGAATAAGAAGAAGGTAGATAACTTTAAAGAGAAAGCTGATACCCAAAACCGTTTTTAGGAACCCAAAACCGTTTTTTTACTTAAATATGTACACTTTTTACTTTCAGTATTGGTAAGTTTAATTTAAACATAAGTAAATTTTGTCAAATAATAAGTAAATTAAATTACTCAAAGTGTAAATTTCTATTTCTGACTAAATCTTATCTTTCAGGCATATACTTACTAGTTTTAATTAAAAACTTACTAAAGTTAATATTAATTATTTTAATATAATATTTAAAAAGTCACTAAAAGATTTGATCTGTCACTAAAGGTAATAGAAACCTATAATAGCAGGTTTCCCTAATATCGTTACCATAACTATAGGCACTGTAGCACTGTCCCATGAAACAATATGTACGCATGAAAAAGAGAAATATTGCATGGAAGATGAAAGGTCAATAGTTACAAATCAATTCCTTAGTAGAAAGAAAAGGATATCTAAATATTTGGTTGATTTATATCCAGGAAAAATTTTATAAAAACAAAAAAAAGAAAGAAATAGATTATTCAAGTGAAATGCATCTAACTAAATATTTCATTGACTGATATCCCAGAAAAATTTTATAAAACAAAAAGCAAGAAAGAAACAGATTATTTAAGTGAAATGCATGTAGAACTAACTAATCAGGATCACAATAATAAACAAATTAGAAGAATACAATCAGGATCACAATAATAAAAAAAAATTAGAAGAATCCTTCATAGAATCCAACTATACTTCATATGATTAGAAAGCTACGACTGCTTCTTTTTCCTTTGTTGGATAGCCATTTTTCACCAAAAAATTTCTACGATCACTATTTTACCTTACTTATATCAAATCACTACAGTATTTTTTTTACAAAAACATCAAAAAATTGCAATTCAAACAGAACATAAATTGTTCTCCATTTGGATTGGCCTTTTTTTTCAAAAACTAATTTTTTAAATACAATGTTATAGTAAATATACAATGTTAGTTCTCATCCTTTTTCAACATCAATATATTAAAGCCCAAACCTTGATAGCTGCCCGGGACTCAGCAAATAAGCTCTTTTTTGAAATCTTTTTTTTTCCTATTTATTTTCTTGCTTTTTATTTGCTCGCGATTTATTTGGGGAACTGCATCCAAAATCAAAGTTTTCATTTGCTTTTTAAGAGAGAGCCCAAATAAAGGTTTATTGCATTTTAAGTTCACTTTTGCAAGATAAATATTATTTTTCTCCTTATTAAAATGTATTAGCCTATTAGGATATAAGAGAGAGTAATTCAAGCCTTGTAAGAAGAGTATTATTCAATTAAAAATACATCTGTTTGTTTTCATTTGAAGAAAACTGCAAAACAGAAACTTGTGCTCTTTCTGAGACTAGGGATACTAACATTTTACCAACTCCCTCTCTCAATCACGACTTCACTACAAATTAATTAATTTGTATTTGCTGACAGTATATACACTTTCATCATTAAATACATGACACATAATTTAAATTTGAATTTGAAACTCAAATTTTGCATGTTTCATGCATCCAACCCTAATAGTACCAAAATACTAATACCTCACAAATGAATACCCTTCTGTTGTGCGAATAAATACCAAATTTCGCATGGGGCATTGGCGTTGTTTAAAAGTATAAAAAAAGCTGCATCCGACACGATAGAATTTTCCCCTTCTGTCGTGCGAATTCAGCTCCCTGCAGTGACACAACAGCAGTATGTTTGAAGGAATGGAAAGCAGCTATTTTTAATTTTAAAAAAAATGAAAAACAAGTAGAATTTCTTCAATTAAGCACCAAAAAGAAATCGAGTACAGAGAATCCTCTAAGCATTGCAGTTACAAGTAAACAAAGCAATCCTGGGATCTGATATGGTGTAAATTTGACCCTTTTCCACGACAGGGTCATACCAATACCATCTACCAATAACTGATGAAACTAAGTACACTGCCTCCTCTTACCAACTCTTTCTCGCAAAAATCAATTTATTACTCTTATCATCTCCGGGGATCTGTCAAAATTAACTCAAGAAAGCAAAGTTGTCATACTTCTGCCGTTCTGCATGATATATAATTCTTATATAGAGCTAGTACCTTATCCTCACGGTTGGATTCAGATGGCATTACCAAAATGTGATCTGATTACTAATGTCACGAACTTAAGATCCATATCCCCCAAAAGCAGCTTCTATTATCGTTGATGTCCAGAAAAACCAAAGACATTAGGCTGGCAACTCTGATAGATGACATCAACAATTTAAGCTCTTTGTTTCAAAAATGCTCATTTTGTTTAGATATAGCAAATGACAATATCAGTAAATCCGTTAGTACTTATGCAGTAGGCATTTGTGGTGACAAGGAATGGAACCATCCTCAAGGTGTCTAACACCTTTGTATAACCTCTTGGAGCCGTTGCTCTATAAGTCTAAAGTTTTAATTTTATCAATCCAATTCCTATCGTTTCAAGAAAAAAAAAAAAAAAAAAAAAGAATGACTACTTGCACTCATTTTCAACATTCAAAACTAGCTAGGGACTGTTTTTGTCAACTAATAATTAATAGCATTACTTGACCACCCCAAAGAAAATTCCATTATCCTCTCTTAAATTTCCTCCCTCCAACAACTACACCCGTAGCTAGCGATTTCCATTTAAAAATAAATATGTTCTCTTCATGATATCTTCTCCTCCAAAATTAAATGAAATCCCACAGCCCTTTACAGTCGTTCCCCACTGTTCTCTGTTTTCTCGCCTGTATACTTCTTCAACTTCATCCTGTTTCAAGTGGTCCGGCAGAATTTTATGAGACCTGTGGGAATGAATTCAGCTGCGGCGACATCACCGGAATAGGATATCCTTTCCGGGGATACGAAGATCCCGCATACTGTGGCTATCCCGGGCTAGAGCTAAGATGCGATCAGAGCAGCAATGTTACAAGACTGGAGATCCAGAACATGACATATTGGGTCTTGGATATCCATCCAACCGCCCAGACTTTGAGGGTTGCTAGAGAAGACGTGATGGAGAACAACTGTCCTACTGATTTAGTAAACATGACTTTAGATTACACCCTGTTTGATTACTCCGCGAGTTATATAAACGTCACGTTTCTCTATGGCTGCCTAGTCAATGTGTCCAACGTTCTTTACTCGTGTGGGAATAATAGTCTGTCTGTCTCGCCTGGAGAAAATGGTGCTGGACTGTGTAAGGCCAGCGTGGTATATCCGGCACTTCAAACGGGTGATAGAGGATCCTTTAATTTTACGGGCTTGGATCAAGTCCTCCGGCAAGGGTTCGATATCAGATGGACAGTGGATACTGGTATATGCAATGAGTGCACCAGGTCCGGTGGAAGGTGTGGGCACGGCGGTGGCACAAATCAAAATCAAAATGAAACTACTTGTTTCTGCCCAAATCAGCCCTATGTCGAATCTGTTGCTTGCTCGTCAAATTCATCACCTTCTAGAGGTACTACAGTACTAGTAGTGGTTTTTGCTTTTTAACTGCTTTGGTCCTTCCTAATCCTGATTGCCCTGATCATATCTTCATTTGCTGTGATCACGAGAATACCCATTTCTCCTGATTTGCATGCATGTTTTTTCTAGGTGATCGTCTGCCCTTATGGTTTACCAACAAATTTTCTTCAAAAACTTCAGCAAGTAACAACCCAAACGGGTTCGTATTGCTAGTAAAAGTACTCTAACTACAGCAAGTAACAACCCAAAATATTTCACTTATTTTTTTAAAAAATCTCACCTTGTTAATTAAATTCAAAATGATTCTATTATAAAAATATTCTTTCTCAAATTAACATCAATGATTAGATATGAGATACAAATATGTGGAAAAAAAGAGACACAAATATGATAAAATATCTTTCATACATATGTCACGGATATCTGAGATTTTCAGCAAAAAAAAAAATTTTTTGCTAATTATTTAGGATCATTTTATACATGAATTGAATTTAATTTAAATTATATAATAGATTATATGTGCATGTGATTTTCGTTTAGTGGTTGGATCTCATTTTTATGAACAATCTTCCCATAAAAAAGTCTGGATTATACTAATTTTGTCATTATTATTGTTATACTATTTCTCTCATTTTGTTAGGTATATATTAATACAAATTTAACTCTTATTAATTCTTGTGTCTTAGACAATAAATTTATTTTCACTTTATCATCTTATTATATTCATAGTTATTAAATTACAAAAATTATATAGACAAGTGATATTCTATATATAACTAGGAAGATTTATTACTACTGTTATCCAAAATTTCAAACTTTTTAAAAATTATAATACGACAAATCAGCTCGACTTGATCAACTCAAGACGAGTTTTGACACGAATTGCCCGCGATCAGTTCACGAGCGGTTTGACTCCTATTCAACCCTACTCCCAACGCGGTGTTCAGTCCTACGTTTGTCCGGACAAAAAGCTGTAATCCTAAGACATACGAGTAAAATCTAAAAAGGCTTCTTTCTTCTTCTAGTAGGAGAACCATTCAAAAGTTTCGTCCAATCTGCCCTCGAGTTTAGAATGTGAGCCCTGTTTAGCACAGGAGTTTTTTGCCATATTTTTAATAGATCCACATTAGAGATGTTAAAATAGTTGATTTGACCGAATTTGGATGAGTCATAATTGAGTAATGAATGATTTTTATTTTTGCCATGACTTTGATCTTTCAAGAAAAAAGTCAAAAAAAAAAGACACGGTTTTTTGTGTCTTTGTAGCTATTACTATTCTAATTGCTGAAGTAGTTGTTGTCATTGATACTGTCCAAGGACTGGAAAGCCTTGACTTACCAAAACTTGCTGCCGTTGACCGTAAGCCAAGTGCAAAAAGACTAGCCAAAAATTCCACATTTGCAGGTTTCTTCTTCAAGATGCCACATCTTTTGTCAAGTTGTTTAGGCTATTAATTAACATTCCACGGAGGTAACACCACCATTTGTAACTACAGGTTCTTGGATTAGTTTAGACCAAGTCAGGCACTTTTTCATTCCAACAGAAGCTTCTATTCATCTCAAAAATTTAACCAAACAGACAGCCTCATCTTAGTCAAGCCCCCAAAGGTCAAGCTCTTCAAGCTTAAATGACTTTAATGAAATATCTAGTGAAATTCTCCTCTGTCCTCTGCTTGATTGCTGATCTACTCCCAGCAAATGAACAGGGAAGAACATTTCCTACTTGCAAACTTTTCCTACTCTTCTTTTCTCTCCGTATAACAATGCATTTCAAGGATCGCTTTCCAAACCTTTTGTTCTTTCTGATAATCACCAGCTTTACTTTAATTGACATCCCAAAATCTTTCAGCCAGGATCAACAATTTGTAACCTGCAGCAAGTCGTTTCGGTGTGGAAATATTGACTTTACTTATCCATTCTGGGTTGGGGATCCCCCGGAAAGTTGTGTTTATCCAGGTTTCAATCTAAGCTGCGAAGGAAATATCTCTCGGTTTACAGTTAGCCCCGTTGCATACTGAATCCTCTCCTCTGTAGATGCCTCAGCTCATACTCTTACTGTTGCCAGAGACGATCTGTGGGCTAATAATTGTCCTCAATATCTCCAAAACACCACCTTGAATTTCAGCATCTTCAGTTACCCCAACAATGTCGATAGAATCACTCTGTTCTATAAATGCACCTTTCCTGCCAACATCCCTGATCCCTCAACAGCCAAATCAGTTTCCGTGCACCATCAATAATACCACACCAACTGCCAGTTTTTTCCTGACAAGTAGAGGAGCCAAAACTAACATAAGCCAGCTGCCGTTTTTGAATACATGTACTGATACCGTCAGGGTTCCTATTAATCAGGTTGCAGTTTCGATTCTATTCAATACTGCGGGTTTAAGAGCTGCGCTTACTGCTGTCTTTCCTTTGCAATATAAAGCAAATAATACATTCTGCACAAATTGCGCTAACTCAGGTGGCCAGTGCGGGTATAACACTTGTTCCAACTCATTTGCCTGCTATTGCAGTGATCACTAATACGATTTGCTGCGTAACAGCACCAGCAACCAAAATAGAAATGGTATGCACTCGTCATCCAAATCTTTAGTGTCAACTAGCTTGTGCAGTGGTCCAAGTCTAATGCTTGAAGTTGACATATCACAACTGAAACTAGCACTAAGATGTTTGTTAGACAAATTGTCAAGGAAAAGATCGAGTGCCTCAGAACTGTGGGAATGGATTGAACATAGAGTATCCCTTTTGGATTCCAGGCAGGCAAGAGTCATATTGTGGCTCACCAACGTTCAATATCACCTACAGGGACAAGAACCCATCTTAAAGAGCTCTGATGATGATTATATCATCAGGGATATATTTTAAATGAATAATTCCCTTTTGCTATCTCAAGCTGCGTTGTATGGTGTTGGTAATAGATGTCCAACACCTCAATATAATTTCAGCATTGAGGGAACTCCATTCAGCCACGGCCCTAACACTGGGGACCTTTTCTTCTTCTACAATTGCACCGGGTGTATCAAGAAGAGATATATACTGTGGATTGTGCCAGTAATGTTACTCATCATGCTTTTGCTACTTTTCATACCGAACACCTGGATCATTGGAACTATTCGGAACAGTCATGTCAGGCTCCAGTTAGTGCACCAATAACTACTGCTCGCCTGGAAATGTTGTTAAGCATGAATTATACCGATGTATTCAAGAAAGGTTTTATTCTACAGTGGGATGGAGACAGTGGCAGCCAATGCAGGAGAAGTGAAGGGCAGTGAGGTTCTTATTACAATGAATTTGTGTATTACACTAATGACCATATACACCAAAAAATCTGTGATGATGCCAAGCAGAGTAGAGTTTCGCGTTCAATAGAAAATCTTTTGCACATTCCTTACAAGTATGATTGCTGATACATGTGTACTGCATGGTCAATACTGACATCACTAATCAAATTATTTCTTTGGATTGATTTCAATTGTTGGATCTGTTAAGCATGTCGCTTAATATCAATCCTTTTGTTTTTTTTCCGAAGCGGAATGAAACACACACACACAAATAATATCAGACACGCAGCAAGCATCAGCAAACCGACCCAAAGGCAACCTAAGCGGGACCCACGTAGCACACACGTCCAGCCAATTGGTGACAGGACGGTGCACCCATGGAACTTAAGCTCAGGGTAAATACCCCACAATCTACCGATGTGGGATGGTGACCCAACCCCCATGGAACTTAATATCAATCCTTTTGTTGCTATACCAAAAGTTATGGACTTAATCTGTAGCCCTGACCCCCTAACGTGTCAGTGCTAGTCTTTTTTTTTTTTTTTTTTTTTGGTCAGTGCTAGTCAAAATGACTTATTTCCAATGTGCCAGCTAGTTGTGTAACTTCCCTGGCAATTCTCTCAGGTTCAATTCTCTTAAATAGTTTTACTCCTGTACATTTGTCGGGAAAGACAAAATAGAACTATCATACTATACCATTGAAAGTACGTTACCAGCGAAATTAACCTGACAAGCTGGAATTATTTTGTAATGTGAACTGCCAATTATGGAAGGGGAGAAAGTGCAAAGTAGTGAAAAACTATTTCTTCATCTGATTCATACTTCTGTTGATAGGTGGTTATTCTGCAGGAAAGAATCGTTCACAAAGGCTGAGAAATGTAATAGGTATGATACTATTCTCCATAATTTAGTTCTATTAACGCTGATTATGATTAAGTGATTCTGTTTTCATGTGATGGTATTTCTTTTATACGAAAATAATATTACAGGAATTTCAGCAGCAGGAGTACTACTGGCAACAATAATAATCATCTCTGTAGTAATTCACTGCATCGTAAACAAGAAACCAGCTTATAGGTCTATCTTACTATTATTTAACAAGACATCAAAAGAAAATCTGATCCTTGAAGCCGCCATCAAGCAATATGGATCCCTTGCCCCAAGAAGATACAGCTATTCCACTATCAAGAGAATGACAAACTCCTTTAAAGATAAACTCGGCGAAGGTGGATATGGGAAAGTTTACAAAGGAAATCTTTTTGCCGGCCGTCCCGTTGCAGTAAAGATTCTGAATACATCCAAAGGAAGTGGAGAGGAATTCATCAATGAGGTCGCAAGCATTAGCAGAACATCCCATGTTAACATTGTTGCTTTATTAGGATTCTGCTTTGAAGGTCAGAAAAGGGCTCTCATCTATGAATTCATGCCTAATGGATCTTTGGAGAGATATATACATGGTGAAACAACGTCAGAGACTGATGTTCACCTGGGATGGGCAAAACTTTATCAAATTGCACTGGGGATAGCTCGAGGACTTGAATACCTGCATAGAGGGTGCACCATGCGAATATTGCACTTTGATATAAAACCTCACAATATACTTCTTGATGACGACTTTTGTCCTAAAATTTCTGATTTTGGTTTGGCAAAGCTGTGCTCTAGGAAAGAAAGTGTCGTGTCAATGCTAGAAGCGAGGGGAACGGTTGGTTATATTGCCCCAGAAGTAATCTGTAGAAACTTTGGAGCTGTTTCGCCCAAGTCCGATGTCTATAGCTATGGAATGATGCTTATGGAAATGGTTGGAGGAAGAAAGAACATCAGCGTTAAAGCAAGTCATACAAGTGAAATATACTTTCCTCACTGGGCGTATCAGCATATGATACTTGAAAAGGACTTCAAATTGCAAGGTGTAATGACTCATGAAGAAGATGAAATTGCAAGAAAGATGGTCCTAGTGGGTGTATGGTGCATACAGGCTGATCCATCACAAAGACCAGCAGTAAGCAAGGTGATAGAAATGCTGGAAGGTAGCTTGGAGGCCTTGGAAATCCCTCCAAAACCCTTCTTTGGTTCTCCTTCAAGATCACCAGAAGCTTCTTCCATTACAATAGCTGAGTCATGATGCAACAGCATTCAAAGCTCTTCTTTCCATTCTCTAATTTCCGCTCCGAATTTCAGCTTGTTGCATATATTTTACTCGTCTCCAAGAATTGGCTTATATATGAAATTCCCATCATTCTGGTAAAGACCAAAACAAAAGGCATAGATATGCATTCTAATTAATTCTTACATATCTATCTCCATTTGAACTATGTGATACTTCTATCATTTTTCTGTCAATTAAAATTTATGAGGCATCTTTATTCATATCTCTCGGTATGAGCACTATGAAATTTGTAGTGCATATAAGGAAGGAACGAGGAAGAAGTTCAAACAAAGAAGGCAGGACTCTTCTATTTGCAGTACCTAACTAAATTTTATAACGGCAAAACTAGACAACCGAAATTGACCTGTTGCCTTGCTGCATCATCTGATGAAGCTCCATTTTTCTGCTAATTAATCAGAATCATGGCCCAAAAAAAATAAATTCTAACAAACGCGCTTCAGGTAGGTTGGTTAGAATTAGAAAGAGTCTCATAGGTTCTGCTGTGCACTGGGTTAGGGTAGAGTTCAAATTCAGCCTAGTGCATATAAAGGAGAACTTTTGAATCCCTTAGGTTAAAAAATATAAAGGGCCAAGTAGTACACTTCTATAGTCAAGAGATAGATTTCTTCCCCTTTAGGCTTTAACCCCTCAATTGGGCTCTCCCAAATTTTTGAATAGTGTTGACTTAGTGTAAAATAAATAAATGAACCCCTAGTTTTGAACTGCACCTCACCGTTGACCACCGGATATAGCAATGGTTTCGAAATCTACCCTAATGTTTACGATTGGAAGTGTATTGAAGCCTCTAATTGAGTTCAAGCTTGCTTAGTTTTAGTTTTGATTTCAACAAAATTGTTTGAGTTCAAACTAGTTCCAAACAAATATTAACAAACATGAATATAACTCATATATTACATGGTAAGACAAACATGAATATAACTCGTATTTTACAAAGTAAGGTAGAGTTCACCTCATGTGATAATTTTGAGGCAATCTTACTTGGTATGCTTGACCATCTTCAATATTCAATATCTATTTCAAAAAAAAGTTTTTGAGGTAGGTTTTCACTTTAGTTAAGTACCAACTTTAGTCAATTCTACTACATACAAAGAAAATAAAATGTACAAACTGCATGTGCATGAATTGGCATAACATCTGATTTTATTGTTGGTTCAAGGCAAGTACAACTCATAATTTTGCAAGCTTAAGAGTTACATCACCATCATTAGCATTTTCTAAAACTCTGCACATAATTGTAAATCTTGATGATGCTATCAAAGCTTTGTTGTTAGAGTTTGAGGAATTAGTCTTCCAGAACATCACGTCCCATACCTCCACCAACTAATTTATAATTGCAATTAACATCTTTAATTTAGTAGTAATCATGCCAAGGACATCAAGTGTAACAAGTTAATACCTAACAATAATTGTGACAAAATTTAAAATATATTTGGTGCATCAAGTCAAGAAAAAAAAATGGTAGTAAAGTACCCGAATAGTTTTGCCAACACTGATAGAGGTTGCCTCAGCAAGAACCAAGTCACGAAACTTTGCACTATTGAGATGGCTAATGCTGAGTTGAATTCCAGCAATCCTCCATCTCCCATTGGCTAAGTAGGCTTCCGGGCTCGCCAGTCCCTCGCCTATCAATGCTGACACCCCTCCATGCAATACCTTAAACGGCTGTAGAAGAAATTCGAACTTTTTTTTTCATCGCTACAGCATATTTTTCAGCAGTATATATTCTCAAATTTATGTTTTTTAAACGGGTTCTTACAATCCAAACAGTCAACTGCCCAGCATATTTTTCTATTGTTTTTAGAGATCAAAAGTCATGCAGAAATATGAAGTAATGACTCTTTAGAATGATGAATCTCGAAACAGGCATAGTCAGGGTGAAAATTTAAGGCAGAGCTACAACTCTTCAACACTATTTTTTCTGCTTTTTGGCTTTGTTTTTCCCTTTGTGCTCAAAGCAGCAAGTGCTAGTGTTCAACTTTGCTCACTTGAAACTAGCTACAAAAAAAATGTTAATGATCTAAACCAGACTGTGAACTTTTAATGCTAATTCAAGAGGCATAAATTCACTTCCTTTTTTTTTTACTTCTATCAATTTATAAACTTGTTTTGGCTCTTTTAAATCAATTTCCCCTTTTTAGAATGCTTTGGTTAATGCAAGTACAATTTTGTCAGTCATTGCAACTTCTACAAAAGAATGACTAAACCAACCGTTAACCTTTCTTTGCAAAGAAAACTGAGCTTTTACCTCCACTAGCATCAATTTTCAAAGACATCGTCAGGGTAATTTCGCTCTCCATTTCTGACTGCTGAAAACAGGCAACACAAGGCTCTCGGAAAAGCCTATTACTCCTCTTCTAAACTTGTCTTGAATGCCAGCAATTACCATATCCCTCATAGTTCTCTCTCTCAAATTCCGCACAACAAGGTTCTTACCACCCATCTGCAAAATGGCATCATCACTCCCCAGCAGTCATATAGATCCCCATGCATATACATTTCAGGTGTAGTAACAATAAATTTGGTCCAAATTCTCCAACACCGTACTCCATCATCATCCAAACATCCATACGGTGACTAGATTGTACCACAACCATTCCTAGACATCCACCAAGAGCCACAAGCTCGCGGCCACACTTATGAGAAGAATGATCAGTATCAGGCCATGGCAGTTGCTTAAATTTCTTGCAGCTAGTATCCAAAGCAATTATAACACACTCCTTATCAACTTTAGAATAAGCAAGCCAGTGTATGAAACCGTTTAGAAACACCCCAAAATGCGAACTAGGAACATAAGGAAAACAACCAATCCTCCTCCACATTCCAATCCCCCAACTAAAAACATCAACAAAGGCAGGATAACTCTCTGTTTCGACAACACGCCAATCGTAAGACAGCGTAAAGATTTTGTAGTCATCATTAGAACTATCATCACCCAAACCATATCTAGTTATGGTTTCTGCAGCATCCCTAACCAATGGACTATGCCGAAATTTCACAAGCTCCCTGATAGTGGGGTTCATCAAATACATAGATTGGGGGGGGGGGGGGGTTTAATCCTTCAAAAGCTTGCACTAAGACCAACCCGTTGCAAGAACCGACACTTTGAGCGAACCAATTGATTCTCCAAAAGGGCGAGCTTTTCTCAAAAACCATTGTTGTTTACTGCTGCCACTGGTGGGGGCGAAAGTTACGAGGGATAAATAGGAAGAGGGAGGTGTACGGGAAATAGAGATGGAGGTGGGAAGCGAGGTGGGCTTTGATGAAAAGTGGGTCGGAAAGTAGAGAGCGCCATAGCTTCGAAACTTACCTGCATTTGCCGACGGATTTTGCCGGGAGTCGTAAGAGAATGTCGATGATGTGTTCCTGGGGAGTATTTGAAGCTAAGTCGGCCGGGGCAACCGGCATTTGGGTTTCATGGAATTTTTGCAGAGACATATGGATTGATCGTATGCTTAGTTAGCATAAATTCTGTAGACGGAAGTGGCAATGGTGTGACGGCGGTGGTGATGGTGGAGGTAGAAGTGTCAGTAGGCGGGTAAGGGCGGCGGTGATGTTTTTCTTTTATCCCGTTTTTGGTTTTGTGTTCTGTGAAAATGGCTATCGGCTCCACCTTCAAATAATCAAATAATTGAGTGTCTTTGGATCGTAGATTATTTGAGATATTTTTACGGTAACATTTTTTATGATGTGATGTATGTGAGATAAAAAGATAATTGAGAAGATAAAAAATTGTATTAAAAATTATAATGGTGATATAAGCAAATATATTTGGACAAATAATCTACTGTCCAAAGACTCCAAACAAACTTATATATGAATACTAGAGGTAATTGAGCTGTGCAAAGCACAGCTTGAGCCCCTAGAAATTTAGTCCAACAAATAACATCAAATTATTTTGGCACATGATGAATGAATAAAAATATAGAAAAAAAATTGAGCATCAAAACAATTACAATTGACAAATGTTATTTAAACTCTCACTTTTGTTAATCACATTTTCACTATTATTTTTATCATATAGTTTTTATTTATTGTAGAAATACAATTAACAAAATATGGGGTATAAATAATATTTCATCTATGGGTTTATGGAGTATAAATAAATTCCATCTATGAACTCAACCGCCCCTCCCTCCCACCAAATCTATTGTGATTTGAATAAAGAATTTTGAACCACTATTATGATGGTACTAAAAAAGGAGAGAGAATTAATACACTATAAGTACATTGCTGTATTAATAATAGCATAGTTTTAGTTGTAACTAAACCAAAAGTAGTCATAATGCTTCTAATACTTTAATAATGAGAAAAAGTTTAGAAAGCCACTAAGACATGGCACAATCTTTAATATCAATATAGCTTACTATAAACTTTCACATTTTTCTTTCTTTTGATAGAACAAACTAGTTCATCTATTTAAATTCCACTTAAAGGTGACAACATTATCCTAAAGCTCCAAAATATAAATAGCAAGGTTGGATAAAAATATGAATTGCTACGTTTCCAAATCTTCATATACAAATTAGAATTGAACCATTTTTTTTATATTGCAAAAACATCTTCCTAATCAAAATTGAATTTTCTAACAATTTTTTGTCAAGTCACACTCTAGGCTGAAAGCCTCAATTGTGACCGCCACCCCCAACTACAATCCTTGTATACCAATCCAATTGATACTATAGCACTTGAGTAATTAAAAAACAAACAAAAATTAACATTAGTTTAAATATATACGAAATCTTATTGGATCCTTCAATTAAATTGAATAGACCATAAATTAATGGCAAAAAAGGGGGGAGGAGGGGAAGAAAGAAATAGAAAAAAAGAGGTAGAGAAATGCTTACCTAGATTTATCTTGGTGGAAGCAATCACATGATATACCTTATTTTTTGAGAAATACACAAAATTGTAGATGATTACAAATGTAACCAAAAAACAAAGAAAGAAAGAAAAAAGTGAAGTAAGAAATCAAATCCTGGGAGGAGAAAAGAAAAGAATGAATTTTTGTTTTATTCTTCATAGAAGATGATCAGTAGTAAAAAATGAATTCTAATATTTTTTGACATATTTTAATATTTTACCTTTTATCCATGAAGAAATACCAAATAATAACGTCATCCTATAAATTTAATAAACAAATGCCAGTTGACTATAACACATGACACTATGGGTGAATTTTGAGCTTTTATTTTTTCCTTCTCTTTAGATGTGCTGAATGTTTAAAGTTATTGTAGCAACTTTCATTGCTCAATGACCTAAATTGGACTGGATTTGGCATTCCTCTATAAGGTTGAATTATTTTTAATAGACTTTTCAATCTTTACACTTTGGACAGATATAGTTCAATTAGAATTTACATTTATTACTATTTACGTTATCATTTGAAGTTATATTTGACAAATTAACTTATGTCTTGGTCAGATGTAATTGAACTACAACATTATTATCATTATTATTATTATTTGAATTTATATTTATTTCAACGTGAATTATCATTTAAAATTATATTTGACAAAATAAGTTTCACTTGTTAAAAATTATACAATTACATTGATCTTTTCAAAATGTTATATTTTTCAATTTTTTGCTATTTTGTTAATGTAATGCAAAAGATTATTTAAATCTAATTCCATCTTATTATAAAGAAAAAGATTATTATCGCTACTTAATGCAATACGCATTTTTCTATTTCAATTTTATTTTAATTTGTTCATATTAAAATAATTGGTAACTTTTGACTTTAAGTTTATTCATATTTCTATTAGCATTTAAAGTTATACAAATGAATTGACATTGCCACTTAAGATATTATAGATTTTTATGATCAATTTTATTTTAATTCATTTATACGTTAATATTTGCATTTTATTACTATAAATTTTTTCCTTTATTAATCAAAGGAACGCATTAACGTCTAAATAACAAATATATATTTATTATATTTCATTAAAATGCTCTTCTCTTTTTTTTTTTTTAATGGTAGCGGTTAGATTTGCATGTATTTTTGTCATTATTTTTTTGCCATCAGATTATTCAATAAAGCTTATTTATTATAAGTTCTATCTAATTTGGAGAGAAAAATGCTTTTTCTTAGCCGTTGTGTTATTAGATTATTTAACAAGGCAGTTTACAGATTGTTTGATTCTCCTGTTTTTTCTCTCCTTTATTTGTAATAAGTCAAATAATGCAAGCATTCTTCACCTACTCCACCTTTTGACAATTACCTAAACAGATTAGACAATTACTTTTTTTTTTTACCTTGCAGTTAGGTTGTCCTTCACAAGAATGTCAACCTTTTATGAATTATCAGTTGTATTTCATCTTTTCATAACCATTAGACTGAATACAAAGTACTACATTAGTTTAGCTTTCATACACTACCTTTTTAGATGAAATTATTATCTAGATGAAATTATTATCAATAAACAAACCTTCAATAGTATAGTACACACTGCTACATACACTATCAACTGTTATTCTATTTTATTTGCTTCTCATCCCCACATAGCAGAAAGAAAACTTCCTTCTGTTTCTTGCTTTCTCATCATTTGGTAATACAATTTTTCTTTGCTTTTTCTTCGCCATATCTATGCATTTATATCTTATTGTAGTAAGATATAGATTCTTTTACATGTTTTGTGTTTTGATTTTGCAGCATTGCCTTCAGCACTAAAGACTTTTGGTTTGTCGAGCACTTTACTTTAGGTTAGTCACATCACTCATAACTAGCCTACACAATGTTTGACAAAATGCTGGTTAAGTTTACTTGATATTTACAAGTTTCGTAAGTAAACTACTGGTAGTTACTTACTATTGAATTATATATATTGTGTGACTTATGATTGGAAACTCTATCAATGAACTTTGAAACTGTTTAGTCTATATTTAGATGTGTTTTTTTTTTTTTTTGCTTTTGTGACCATTTTTAGATTGTTCATGTTGAAGATGCTTGCTTATTTCTTTGATGGATAGCTAAACTAATTGAATGTTTGTTTCATTATCAGCTAAATTGTGACAATCAAAACAAAGAAAAAAATCAATTAGACAAGTTGTGACAGCCCCACCTCCCCCTACGGTGAACCAAAAGGGTTCGCCAGACCGCCTGCCTAACTCTCGCCAGAACTCACTACAGTTCTCAAACAAATTACAATGTAAATCTCAAATATTATATCAAATACTCCACGAATTTACATACCACAAGTGAATCGAAATTCAAAATATACATGAGATATTCCATCCAATCACACGAATAAGTTAATACATGTGCTTTCTTTGCCTCGAGCCCTGTGGAGAGAAAATAAATATTTTGGGGTGAGTTAGAAACTCAGCGAGTGTTCAATAAAAATCAATAATCAAATAAGTTTCACAATAGTGCATTTAGATAATGTCATGAATCAGTGATCAAATGTAAATTTATTGCTCTTGTGAGCCAATGAAAACATTGTATTTAAACATCCAACGCTCAAATAGATCAAGTAACAATCAAGCATTACAAGGGAGCCATCGGTGCTCCAACATTTAAGGCAAGTCAAGTGTCATTAAGATGAAGACGTTGGTGTTAAGCACAAGACTTCCAAGCACTCATTTGAGCAAAATCATTGCATGGCACACACGCAAGCATACATGATATGCAATCGAGTAAACAGTGCAAGAAATAGTTCGAAAAGTAACTTTGGAAACAGTTTTGGAATCACTCACCAACCACAGCTTATGATCATCATCCATCATAGATAGTTTCCTTACTCAAGTCCAAGCCCTAGATCATAAATATCATGTCATGCAAAGGAAATTCTAAAATCATCAAGTTCCTCTCACCTTTTGGCATTTTAATCACAACTAAAACTACACTTATCGGATTGAGATGAATATTATGGCGTTTCGAAACTAAGACATAGGCCTACATTTATTATGAAGATCTCCACAGCCAAATCATGCATTGTCATGGTCAAAAATTGAAATCTCAGAGAAAACAGAAAGCTCTCAGTTAAACAAGACATTTGATCAGTCAGGGGTATTTTAGTCATTTCACAAGTT